TTCGTTGTGAAAGCGAAACTACTTTGTTTGGTCTTCCAAAAGATGACGATATCCGCTTCGTCATGCCTAGAGCTGATCTGTGCTGGTCGATGAGGGAATACATCAACTTTCACTGTGGACGAAGCGGAGTCCAGCCCGCCTGAGCTCACTCTATCCCGGCCTCAGCGCACCCTAAGCCGAGGCTTCCCCTCACGCTGTGTTTTTCACTTGAAGGGGTCATATGATGTTGCTAAAAATAACATTATTTGGTGTAATAAAATGTGTTTCACCACAAAGAAAACGACTTTATTCAACAATTCGTCTCCTCCGCATCACCCTATAGTGACATTTTGGAGTATCACATACATAAACAACGTATGCTGTTCTGTGTCAGCTGTGCCATGTGGATACATTGTTTTCGTTTAGATCAACGCTCAAACAACGTAGAAAACATATCCACGTGGTGCAGCTAACACAGAACTGCATACGCTGTTTACGTTCAGTGCATACTCTCCAAAATGGTGCTAGGGTGACATGGAGGAGACGAATTGTTGAATAAAGTCGTTATTTCTGTTTTCTTTGCATATAAAAGGTATTCTCGTAGCTTCGTAAAATTACGGTTGAACCCCTGATGTCACATGGATTATTTTACCGATCTCCTTTCTACGTTTCTGGACATTGATCGTGGTAATTACATTGCTGTCTATGGGAGGGTCAGAGAGCTCTCAGAATGCATCAAAAATATCTTAATTTGTGTTCCGAAGATGAATGAAGGTCTTACGGGTTTAGAACGACATGATGGTGAGTAATTAATGACAGAATTTTCATTTTTGGGTGAACTATCTCTTTAACAATGCATGCAACATTTAATGCCATGAGATTATGAACTTAAGGCATTCTGCTCTGATATAAAATGCTTTTGAGACCAGCAGAAGTAGAGTTGCAGATATGATGTAAAGAAATACACTGACCAGTTTCCAAAACCACAGTCCATGACGGCCTCTAACAGAGCCATCTCCTCCTGCGCAGTCCAACCAGGCTCTAACATGGGAAAATCTGATGTCTACAAGAAAGTAGATCAAAATAAATGTCATTTATAAGTGTCATTTACGGGCACAATATTGGACAGGATACAAGTTACGGGGCACAAAAAAAAATACACAATTTTATCCAAATACTTTTTTTTTTAAAGTTCCGTAAATAATAACAAAAACATGATATAATACACTACGCATCAATTTCTCTTCACTTTGTGCTTTGCAGTTTTTAAAGTGAAGAGAAATTGATGCGTAGTTTATTATATCTGTGTAACAGTTATTGAGCCTTTCTTTAATTTTATAGTATATACTTAAACATATATATATATGAATGTTTTTAATGAATGGATTTTATAATACAAATAGCAATGTGTAACATTTTACCATATTTGAGTGCAACACTTTTATTTGTTCCCCACAAAATATTGTTTTTCACTAAATGTTTGGATTCCTAAAATGATTGTGCACTGATTTTTCTAGAATAACTTTTGCTGCTGAATTATCCACTAACCTAGTTTATGATACATTTTTGTCATAGATTATAAATATACATAGGCCTATATTTTTTCAGATTTTTTATCAGATTTATTGTTTATTTTATTTTCTTTATAATGAAGTAGTCTGTATCTAGTAGATTGTAAAAGAATGATTATAATTTCCACACACAGAGATATATAAATTCTACATTTATTTAAATGAGGGGAAAAAACTTCACTGGTATCGGTATCGGCCAATACCGAACCCTAGGTATCAGAAATCGGTATCGGAGGCGAAAAAGGCGGATCGGAGCATCCCTAATAAATTTAGAGTTACATTATAACTGTAAAGTTGTTATTGAACAACAACATTAATGAAAAACATAATTAATTAGAAATATAAGCATATTATTCTGACAGTTAAAAGTTGTAAAAATAAAATTAACTTTTTTTTACTATATATATATATATATAAAATAAACATTTAAACTTTTATGTATCACTACTATCACATTGAATAAAAATGTAAATTTTTTATTTTAATACTGCAATATTCCAAGTTCTGCAAATACTGGGGTGGCACCATAGGACAATGATGGTATCAGATACTTTGGTAATTTGATATATGGGTCGACGAGACAACCTATTTTGGTGTTTGCATCAAAATAAATTTACAACAGTGATTTTACATACATAAAAAGCATACTAAATGCAAGTAAAATGCCTACTTTAATGTTTCTAATAACTTCTGTGAAAACAAAATGTCAAAATATGGGTAGAATACTGTTTCTTCGTCATTTAGTGTAACAGATATATTTACGTAAAAATTAAACAACACACTTATTCATACATGTGCTTATTAAAAACAAAAAAGAAAAAGTGGTCATTCTAAATTGTATAATATTTTGAAATCATTAAAATGATTGTCTTGTTGACAAATGGGTAACGTTAAAACGCAGTGGTTTGAAGGAGAGTGGCAAAGATTGGTAAAGATAATGATAAAGGTAATGATTCTTCTTCTAAATATGACTGACAAGATTTTTGTAACATGAATGTTACACAATGACATTTTAGTGAGTGTCTTCTGTAAATTACGGTAAAAATGTATGGTAACGTTAGTTACCTACGGTAGAACAAGAGTAATTTTTGTTAGCGCCCAGTTACTATGGTAAAAGTCTGTAACTAATGCCAGAGCCGTTTCTTTTTCTCATTTAGGTAGTTACCTGCCCTCGAAAGAACAGCCGATCAGTGATTTGCTAAACGATGTAACGTTACTTACTTCCAAAAGACGCCAGGCGATCCATGCTGTAGATGAGGATGTGATCAGGAAAAGCGTAAAACCTTCCTCTTCTCTGCGATCGTTTTGAATGCAGTTGATATTATTAACGTTACAGCTTTTTGATGAAGGAAACTCAACGGTTAGGCGGATGAAGCCTCATCGTTAAAAGGAGTAAATAAAAACTAAGGTTTTATGTTGAATTTAGCACACAACTGAAAATGTAAACACTTGGGTCTTCTTCTTCTTCTTCTTCTTCTTGGTGTTTAATGGCGGATGGCATACAACTTTTAGGTGCATTACCGCCACCTACTGATTAGGAGTGTGGATCAGGATCGTACTCTTCACTAAATTCTATTATATAATCCCGTGTCCTTTAAATAACGCATTAAAAATGGAAAGTTTTTATCCCCTGATTTATTCCCCAAAATGTTCATCAAATTAAGTTTTTCTTTATTTTCCTTGAGGACATCAATCAGTATCTTTCTTTCCTTTCCGTATCTTGGACACTTCATTATAACATGCTCTACATTTTCCTCCATATTGCAATATTCACGCGTTCCAGTTTCATGTCTCCCCATTCTCTTTAAACTGCTATTAAGAGCAGTATGGCCAAATCTAAGCCTTGAGATTATAGTTTCCTCATGTCTATTTCTTCCTGTTACTCTGTACTTACCAACAATTCTTTGAATGCTATAAAACCATCTCCCTGTTCTTTCTTCTTCCCAATATTTCTTCCATCTATTCTTCACTTGATTACACACTTCGTTTCACTCTTACCATATTTTATCTGCATATCTATGTCTACTTTCTTTGTTGCTTCCTTTGCATATTCGTCTGCTAACTCATTTCCTTTTACTCCCACATGCGCTGGTACCCAACAGAAAGCTACAGAAATCCCCATCATCTGGATCCTATATATTGTTTGAAGAATCTCAATCATTATATCTGCTCTGCTCTCTGAATGACATGTTTTAATTGTAATTAAAGATGAACTTGAATCAGAACATATGAGTGTCCGCATTGGCTTATGATCCTCCACCCATTGCAATGCCAGTAAAACTGCAATCATTTCACCAGTGTAAACTGACAAATTATCTGTGATTCTTTTACTGACTTTCACATTCAATTCTGGGATACTAAATGCCACACCTACTTTGTCTTCCATATTTTTTGATGCATCAGAATATATTTGAACATAACCATAATAATTTTCATGAATGTACTTATGTGCTATTTGAACGTTTGATTTGAACTTATCCTTATTTTCCTCACTTAACAATGTCACATCTACCGTAGGTTGAGATATTAACCACAGAGGGATTGTTGACCACGGAACTGTAGGGCTTATTGGAGTTTCACCAATTTCCATTTCTTTTACCAATCTAGGCATTTCCCATCCAAAACGTTTGATTTCTTTCTTTCCTTTTTCCCAGAAAGGTTTTAGAACTACCCTAGCTGGGTGTTCTTGACTATGTCCTAATATATTGACCCAATGTCTTAGTGACAGTTCAATTCTTCTAAGATCTAAAGGCATTTCTCCCATTTAAATCTGCAAGGCGTACATAATCTTAATGCCTTGTACTGGATTTTGTCCACCTCTTTTAACACACTATTAGCAGCCGATTGATACACTATACTCCCATAATCAAATACAGATCGTATCAATCCTGTATATATACTTCTTAGAGCCATCCTCTCAGCCCCCCATTCTTTCCCCACTAAACATCTCATAACATTCATTACTCTTTTACATTTATCAACTATTTTTTTATGTGTATTTTAAATGTGAGTTTTTCATCAAACCATATACCCAAAAAATTTAAAACATGATACTCTTTCTATATCTTGACCATATAATTTCAATTTGACCTCTTTACTATCCTACTATCCTACTATTACTAATCCTACATTTTGAAAATAATAATTTTTTTGTTTTTTCAACAGAGAATCTAAAACCCCACTTATATGACCACCTTTCTACTTCTGTTATTGCTTCTTGCACTTTCCTTACAACAAACTCTAAATTCCTCCCTCGTTTCCAGATTGCACCATCATCTGCATAAAGAGAAATTCCTATTCCCTTTTCAACACTTAAAAACACACCATTAACCATAATAGAACTAATTATACTCCCGTGTGGTGTTCCATTCTCTAACTTTATTATCTCTGAAAATTATTTCCCAATCTTTACTTGAATAGATCTTCCAAATAGAAAACCTTATCGTTTTTCCTTTAACTCCTGCTTTTCTCAATTTAATTATTAACCCTTCTTTCCACATCATATCATAAGCTTTCTCGATGTCAAAGAATACTGCCACTACACTTTCTCTATTAGCCTGAGCTCTTCGTATTTCATGTTCCAAACATACTGTAGGGTCCATAGTACATCTGGCGCTGATAACCTAGTACTTCTTAATGCACTATTTAATTCTCCTATTGTTAATGGCAAATTAAGTATATCATCTACCTCTTCATCTTCCATAATTAATTCTCTATATCTTAAAACTGTTCCCTCTCGTCCTTTCCTCCCTTCTTCGTTAACATTATCCGAACTATGGATTTTGACAAATGTTTTTATGATCATTTCCGCTTTCTCCTTCTCTGTCACAGCTGTGCCTTCATTATTTATTAATGTAGGATATCTAAACTCTCTCCTAATTCCATTCATTTTCCTTATCATGCCCCATACTTTATAAATATCTGTTTCTCTTCCCACTGACTCACAAAATGATCTCCAATATTCCCTCTTTGCTGTTTTAATAGTTCTTCTTACCTTTGCCCGCATCTTTTTAAACTTGATTAAATCTTCAAAATTGTGTGTTCTTTTAAGTATTTTAAAAACTTTGTTCCTTTCTTTTATTACTTTCCCACATTCTTCCATCCACCATGGGACTATCTTCTTTCTCCTATTCCCTAAACTTCTTGGAATTGATTGTTTTGCTGCTTCTATTATAACTCCACAAACTATTCGATTTAATTCCTCTATTTCCTCATCACTATTAATTACTCCCATCATTTCATCACTTATCTCCCTGAATTTCACCCAATCTGCTTTACTAAATACCCATCTTTCTGACCCACTTGACTCATTTATTTCATTTCTTATACCTATTTCTATAAAAATTGGATAATGATAACTTCTTAATGTACTATCTTTCTTAACTTCCCACCAACATAATCCTGCTAAAGCTTCCGATACAACTGTAATATCAACTGCCGTTTCCTTCCCATTTACCACATTTATTCTAGTGCCATCTCCATTGTTTACACATACTA